GACAACGTTATATGGCCGTGAGAGTGGCAGGTAATATTATGACAACATTGTTATTGTTTGACAGTTTGTATTATTATTTAATTAAAATGGGTCACACAGAAGTAGAAAATTTAAATATTATAGGAATTAAAATAGAGTAGTAAAGATATTCTCCATACTTTATTTTAATTCCTAATAATATTTCAATTTTCTATTTCTGTGTAACCCATTTTAATTAAATAATAATACAAACTTTCAAACAATAACAATGTTATCATGACATTACTACCTGTCACGACCTACCATATAACATTGTCCATGAGTAATTGGCCTCACACGGTCTAATTTGTGTGATTTAGTTGAAATACTTATACCCATTTTGGACTATATCAATGTTCGATATGTCAAAATATATTACAAATAAATCTAAATCCTTACGTAATTGGAGAAAAGGCAGAAATGCCTGAAAGATGCCAACAATTACAAAATATCTTATTTTCTTAATAAAAAATCTTCAGGAGCAATCCGTGAAAACCGCATTCTCAAAGACTGCCCAATTATGTCATCTCAGAAAATGAAAAAGGAACCTCGAGGTAGCTTTGACTTCGCTTCGACAGAAAGCAATGAAATTATCATATGCAAATGGCATGATAACAATATTGTAAACATAGCGTCAAATAAAATGAAAGTTCTTTCAACATCTCAGGTAAGGATATTTTCTCAGAAAAAGAAGATATTCAACAGCCCCATACAACTAATAAATAATGAAAATATCGTGCTGATCAAAATATCAGCTTATATAGAGTATCTATTCAAGGGAAAATGTGGTACTTTCTCCTAAGTCATTTTGTGGATATGGCTGACCAAAACGATTGGCGTATTTATAAAATAAATGGTGGAAAGATGGTTGACCTGTTTTAGAAAGTCTGTAGCAGTAGGAATATTGGAAACATTCAAGAAAATATCACTAAGGAGGTCTAGCAAATTTCCTAAAGAAGCTCATTCCTTTTTAAAGTACGATGGAATAGATCATCTTGTGGTGTACCAAGAGAAGCAAACTCGCTGCATATTTACTAGTCACAATGTTAGTTGTTCGCCCACATTGCCCTCTGTTGGCTCTAATACTCTTTGTGTTTTTGAGGTTACCAAAGATGACATAATAAATGCAATTAAGAGAATGAAGGGTAATTTTACAATAGGGCCTGATTTAATTCCTGCATTTTTAATAAGACTGTAAAACAATTTTTGCAAAACCTTTAAAAATCATATTCAATTCTATAATTAAGTATAAAGAATATCCACAAGTATCGAAAGAGTCGCAAATATGCCCAGTTTATAAAAAAGGGGCTAAAAACGACATAACTAATTATCGGCCCATAGCTATTATAAGTAACTTTTCAAAAGTTCTAGAAATAATTTTACACAATCGACTTTATTTTCATATTGAAAAATATATATCTCCGTACCAACATGGATTTATGAGTGGTCGTTCAACTACAAATCTAGTTGAGAAAACCCAATTTATTGCTGAAGCTTTGGATGCAGGAAGTCAGGTTGATGTTGTGTATACTGACTTTTCCAAAGCTTTCGATCGGCTTGATCATAATTTATTAACTTTGAAATTGGTGTCATATGGTATATCCCCTGCTCTATTAACTCTGTTTAAATCCTATTTTAGTAATAGGTACCAATTTGTGCAGTATCGAGGCTTTAAATCAGTAGTCATTTATTTTGCCACTGTCCTTTTAAAAGAACACCTGTTTTTGTAAAATTAACTAGGCAAAATTTTGGACAACTCACCCTTTATTTGTAAAGGGAAAGAATGCATATTCTTATTTTTGGCGAATATTACTCGAAAAAAATTTTCGGCAAAATGATATCTGGGTTAATCATCTTCATCTTCATCTTCTAGTGGTTGGTCCTTTAAAAGTCCCATAGCACTGCGGCCTAATTAGGCCTATTGTGCGTCCCACTACTAGTCCTATTCAGCAAGTAGATTTGTCCTTTTTACAAAGTCCAAAAGCTTCCTTGCTGACACTTCTCTCAGTTCCTTGGGTTCCAAATAGGGTCTCCCAAGGAGCGCCATTCTGCTACGTGCAAATCCCGGGCACTCTCCCAGGATATGCAGAGAAGTTTCATCCGCTGATTCACATCCTCGGCAGACCGGACTGTCTACAAGCTTTAGCTTGTGTAGATGTTTCCTAAAGTGACAGTGTCCCGTTATGAGTCCTGTCACTCTCCTGAGCCGGATTCTATTCAAGCTCAGTAGCTCATTCGCTCTTCCCTTCGAAGGATACTCCATAAGCTCCTTAGAATGGCTATGTCCTGGCCTTGAAGTCCAGTATTTCCTATGTTCTGTCTCTGTCCATTTACCCAGAGCCCACCTGACCACACTGGGAGATGTGCCACAGAAGGGCTCCGGGCCAATGAACATTGTCTCGGATCCCTTCCTAGCTTTCTCATTTCCACAAATGCCTTTGTGCCCTGGCACCCAACACAGTCTGACTGTATTGTTGGTGGCCAGTTCAGTCAGCATTTGTAAACAGTCCCACACCAGTTTTGAACTTACCTTGTGTGCGGCTAAAGCTTTAATTGCTGCTTGACTATCAGAGAATATATATATGAGTTTACGTCTATAACCTCTACGTATATTCTCTGCCAGACACGCCATTATCGTGAAGATTTCTGCTTGGAATACAGTAGGGAACTCCCCCAGACTGTAGCTTGCACTCCATCTGGGTCCGAGTCCATATATTCCTGCACCCGTCCCTCTGGTCATTTTGGAGCCATCTGTAAACCATACTAGGCTCCACCTTTCCAGGGTATTAAACCTTTCCTCCCACTTGCTTTGATCCTCTATTCGAGTCTCAAATGGCTTGTGGAAGTGAAACCTTGGGACCATCTTGTCGGATACCATCCCAAGAGTTGGTTCCGACATAGATGTGTCTATGATCCTGGAGTGGGAACCACCCCTCCAGTCATTGTTATTCCTGAGTCGATATGCTGCTAGCCGCGCTTCTCTTTCCACCACTATATGCAGCGGTGGCAGATTTAGCATGACTTCTAGTGCAGCTGTCGGGGTCGATGCCATCGCCCCCGTTATACCTAAACGGGCCAATGTCTGAATTCTATTCAGTTTTTCCCTCGCTGTGGTCTGTTGTGTTTTCTGCCACCATACCACAGCGCTGTAAAGAATCCTGGGTCTTACTATTGACGTATACAACCAGTGTGACATCTTTGGTTTCAGTCCCCAGGTTTTCCCAATAAGGCGACGGCATACACACAATGTCTGCTTCGCCTTACTCACCACTTTTTCCAAGTGCGCATTCCAGGTAAGCTTATTATCCAGTATCACTCCTAGATATTTTACTTCCCTGGAAAGTGTAATGCCCCTCTCCCCTATTATAGGTTCAGAGAGTCCAGTTAAATTTCTTCTCCTGGTGAAGGGTACTACGACCGTTTTGTCAGAGTTTACTGACAGTGCCTGCCCCTTACACCAGTCATCTATCCATTTCAAAGCATCTTTCATGAGTTCTGAAACGATAATATTATGTTTCCCGACTATGAGAACGACTAAGTCGTCCGCATAGCCTTGTGTATAAAATCCCTAGCGATTAAGGCCCTCCAGTGCGCCGTCCACCACTAATCCCCATAACAGGGGAGACAGTACGCCTCCCTGGGGGCAGCCCCGGCCTACCTTACACCTGGATGTCTCTCCCGAAAGGGTAGCTGTTACTGTCCGGTTTCTTAACATGGTATCTATCCAACGACACAAAGTATCATCAAGGCCCCTGTTGCGAACTGCCAAATTAATAGATTCGAAAGGTGTATTATCAAATGCCCCTTCAATATCTAAAAAAGCTGCCAAAGCTAGATCTTTGTCATCCATCGCCCTCCCTATCCTAGAGACTAGGCCATGAAGGGCTGTGTCGACTGATCTGCCTGCCTGATAGGCGTATTGGTACCTGTGTAGAGGATTTGCCTCCAACACCCCGTCCCTTATATGCCTATCAACTATTCTCTCCAACGTTTTCAGGAGGAAAGATGTTAAACTTATCGGGCGATATGCCTTTGCCTGGGCATACGATGGACGCCCTGGTTTAGGAATAAACGCCACATTCGTCGATCTCCATGCCAGCGGTATATAACCAAGTGCAATGCTGGCTCTGAAGACGTGAATTAAAACCGGGGCTAGACAGTCCACCCCCTGCTGTAACAGTACAGGTAGGATTCCATCGGCTCCTGGTGATTTAAATGGGTCAAAAGAACTTACTGCCCATCTTATTCGTGACTGACTCACCACCGTCTTGGCAACCTCCCAGTTCTGTCGAGACCCGGTCGTTACCCTCTGCTGGTGATCCCAGTCATATTCATCTCCATGATTTAATAACCTGGAGCCTGGAAAGTGAGTATTTCGAAGTAATTCCAATGTCTCCCTTCCAGTTTTAGTATATTCCCCACTCGGTGCTTTAAGAGACCCGAGTTTCGTATGTCCATTCTTAGAGAGAAGTCTCTGGAGTTTAGCACACTGTGGACACTGTCAATATCCTCACAGAACTTCCTCCATGAGTCTCTCTTCGCTTTCCTAATTTCTTTATATCTGGGTTAATCAAGTCAATGAATAAACGTAACAAATTGTTAAAAAATGTAGGTATTTTTTAAAGACGTTGAGTGGGGGTGTTCAACACATCTCAAAAGATTTATTTAAATTTAAAATCAAAACTATTAATTTGTGTCATCTGTCAATGCACAAATAAAGTTTAGTTTTATGCTGATTATTCAAAGAAAAGTCATTTTACTTAATTAATAAAAGATTAAATTCACATTATATGACCTTCGGTCATTTAATGTGATTTTAATACTGTGCATTAACAACTTTTTAATTTATTTGGAACTGGTACCATTAGGGCCAGATAAATGAGGTTTTAGTATTTCTATATATTAAAATAATGAAATAATTAGTTGTTTTCAAGCAGTTTGAAAATACTACTCGGGAAGAAATAATCAATTTTTTAACTTACCAGCATCTATAACAGCCTGAACTTGCATCTGATTTCCAGCAGTAATATTAGACAAAAACCATACAGCTTCTTTACAAATTTTCTCCTTGGGATGAGTTAAAAGTGCAGGAAAATGAGACAGCGCATCACAATTTAAAACAACCTGAGTCTGTTCATCTGTTCCAGTAACTATGTTACCTACTGCTCTAAGAGCGGCTGTCTGAACTTTTACTTCCTTGTGACTTAGTAAGGGTATTAATTTTGGTACTACTCCACTGTCTATAACCATTTGAATCTGTTCATTGCCTCCATCTGTCAGATAGCTTAAAGCCCACACTGTATCAACCAATATCTAAAAAATAAAATATAATGTACATTTCAACCATACAGGGTGTCCCACTAAGGTCGGCGAGGTACGATATTAGGAAAAGTATAGACCCTAGAACTTCGGGAAAAAAATAAATCAACTAAGAGAAATCGCTGGAAATAGTTTTCAAGTTCGTAGCTCGGCCGCTAGGGGGCGCAATCTACTTACCAAAACGTAGAGTTGAATTTTTCTCAAAAATGTTTCCTATTCAGGTATATTAAATAGTACAAATATGGATAGCCATATTAATTGGGCATAACTTTTGTTATTGACAATTTCTTCTATATATCTACAGAAAGGTTGGGGCCCTAATGTTTGATTGGAAAAATGCATTTTTTAAAGGATTGGCTCATCAAAAGCCCATAGTGTTATACCTCGTTGGAAAGGTCTTTTCATGTTTTATCTCATGGAGAATGCGTAATGTCATTTACCTCAATATGGAAACCTATAGATGACGTTTTATGGATTTTTCTCAAAAATTTTAAATACAATGCTATAGTTTTCTTTACATATTCAACACAAAAAATTGAAAATTTAAATTTCTTACAACAGTGTTCTTTATTATTTGGTGCTGTTTATCCAAGTTTAGGTTGTTTCATGTATTCTTAAAAAGTGAAATAGCAGGATAAAACTTTTTATAAGTTAGTTTGAAGAGCATAAAAATAGCTACATTTTGACGCCAAAAAGGGTTCGATATCTTTTTTTATTATCATGTTGTTTGCAAATTAGTGAGCAAAAAATAAATAATGATAATGAATTGAGGAACATGACGCTAATGAAAAGACATTTAATTACCAAAACAAAATGAGTTTATAAAAGAATATAAACAATAAACCAACAATTGTTAATAAAAAGGATATAACCCATTCAAAAAACTAGTTGATTTTATGCAAGAAGAAAGAATATCTAAGTGCTACATTCAATTGAATCAAGATATAATTTATGTAAATAGTCAAAGCTTCATAGCAAATAAATCGAGTATTATAAACCAAATTGTCTATTATAATTCATCCATTACAATATTGAGTGAAACCAGAACTACTGAAGACATACTGGATTTTGAATTACATATATGAACAATTATAATTTAGTCCGATGACAGACACACAGGGAGTGTTTTAATATTCATTAAATTAGGCATCGATTATGATTTCAAAAAAAAGTATGGAAATTATTGGTTCCAGTTTGTTGAAGTAAAAATTTCAGAACAAATATGGACTCTTGGCGGAGTGTACCATTCACCTAGTTCTAGTGATGCTGTGTTTTTGGAGAAGATGGAAGAAGTACATGATAATTATTTTTGTTATAAGAAATGTTTGTTCGTTGGAGATTTTAATATTGATTACAAAGGTGATACTTTTTACAGTAAAAAGATAAAACAAATATTTGTTTTATATATAGAGTTGATCAACTTGTTGATAATTATACTAGAATTACAAACAATAGTAAAACTTTAGTAGACTTTGTAATAACAAATCACAAAAATGTTGATGCTTACGTTTACGAAATTCCAAAAATATCAGATCACTCTGTAGTGTCAATAAATATATTTAGGAATAATATATGTAATCATGAAAAACAAATTTTGGTTAGAAACTTAAATGAAAACAATATGTTGAATGTAAATTTAAAACTTTTCGCTTGTAACTGGTCGTTAGATTGTGTTGAGGTTGATAATGTTTTAGATGATATTTTAAGCAAATTTAAGATCACTGTTGATATTCTGGCCCCTGTATATTCTGTAAAAGTGAAAGCAAATCAAGTGCCATATTATGATTATGAACTTAGGAGGAAAGCAAAGGAGAGGGATGTAGCTTATAGATAGATGTAATAATTTTAATAAAGATGCAAAATGGCAGCATTATAAGGTAAAGAGAAATCAATATTTTAACATGTTAAAAAACAAAGAAAGTATTATGAGGATATAATTGATTTGAACAAAAAAATTCCAAACAAATGTGGAAAAATTTAAAATCATTAATACATATGACATACCTTTTGAAAACACAGACGAAAGTGAAATAGCAAAACATTTCAATGAAAGTATAGGTAAGATAACAAATAAAATAAATAGCGATCAATTGTCATCATCACAAAATTGTTTTAAATTAAATTGTTCTTTTAATACTTTTAAAAAAAGTAAGTTATACTCGGCTGAGAAATATAATATTTTCTTTAGAAAATAAAATTATTCAGGGGGATATATGTCATGCCAAATTTTTAAAACATACTTTTGACACAATTGGTGATGTAGTTTTGCACTACATTAATACTTCCTTAGAAACAGGAAAATTTCCAGATATATTTAAGATCAGTACTGTTATACCAATTCCTAAAATTCAGAACAATATAGAGGCATGTAATTTTCGCCCTGTCAATATGTTACCAACTTTGGAAAAAGTGTTAGAATTGGCTGTATACGATCATATGTGAAACAGCTTTACAATATACATTAACAGATTGAAAAATGTTACTAGATGAAGATAAGTACATCGTAACAGTTTTTTTGGGACTATATATAGAAAACTTTTATTTAGAAAATTGCAGTTTTATGGAATGACTGGTATTTATTTTAAAATGTTTTGATGATTATTTAAGTAGAACAAAACAAGTAACTAGAATTAACGAATTTGGGGTGCCTCAAGGCAGTGTTTTGGGACCACTCCTTTTTATACTTTATTTTAATTATATTAATTATGTGGTACAAAATAACGCTATTAACTTTTTTGCCGATGAAATTTTAATATGTTTATCGCATTAAAATTGAAATCAAGCAATTTTTTTGATAAAAAGAGTTTTGGATAAAATTNGAAAAACACAACTGGGACGTTTTAAAATGCTGTAATAATTAAAATGGATCAAAATGCCGATTATAGCAAACCGTAGAAAATATTAGATGTTATGTTTTATTATCTTTTTTCAATATTTTCTATATCTTGTTGCCTTTTACGTAGACACGCCAATGGATTTTCGTTCCCGGCACGTTTCATCCCCCTTACTAGTCCAAAAGCTAGCGATGAGTCACTTTCTATAATTTCGACCGCAGAATATAGTTTTAAATTAGTGTGAATTCTGTTCTCATTTGTAATAATATCAAACAAGTAGTTAAGAAACAATGAATAGATCTATGCTTATGGTGAAATTAGCCCTAGGACAATGTAATAATAATATAAAATTTCCTATGCTATTTTATGAGGTTAAATAAATTCAAACTTATTATAGGATGTATCAATGAAGTTAGATCTGATGAAAACAATTATAGTGATGACGAAAATGTAATTGTAATTCTATGCTTCCTGGGATGAAGATCCTGATTAGAATTTATCTGAGAGTGAGGCCGATAGTTGTAACAGTTCTGATCAAGGTTCTAATATGTTGGAAGTAATAGAACATTTTTCTGGTCTTCAAGATTTATCAAATGAGGTGAATATTCCACGTATGTATCTAATATTTTTATTCATTATCGCCTTACAATATATTTTTATAGAACGAAGTCCTAGAAAGGGGAAAGCACCTGAATTATGGAAACAAAATGTTAAAAAACAAAAAAGGAATAGTGGGCAAGCATACATAAACACTAGAAATAAGGAGGTTCAAGCAAGAAAACCAAATCAAGCATGTAATAATTGCATCTACAAATGTTCTAATTTAATAGATCTGGAGAGCAGACAGACTATCTGCCAAGATTTTATAAAAATTGTAATTTGGTTCATATGCCCCTTTGTTATGAAGCCCTCAATATGTTAACATGTTAAAAAACAAAGAAAGTATTATGAGGATATAATTGATTTGAACAAAAACAATTCCAAACAAATGTGAAAAAATTTAAAATCATTAATTAAACCTAACAAAAAAGTAAGTTATACTCAGCTGAGAAATATAATATTTTCTTTAGAAAATAAAGTTATTCAAGGGGGGAATATGTCATACCAAATTTTTAAAAGATGCTTTTATGATTGGTCATGTAGTTTTGCACTACATTAATACTTCTTTAGAAACAGGTAAATTCCAGAGATATGTAAGATTAGTACTGTTATACCAATCCCTAAAATTCAGAACACAATAGAGGCATGTAATTTTCGTCCTGTCAATACATTACCAACTTTGGAAAAAGTGTTAGAATTGGCTGTATACGTTCGAGTAATGGAATATTGTAGTGAAAATAATTTATTTATAGGTAATCAATCAGGTTTTAGAAAACATCACTCCTGTGAGCTTTACAGTATACATTAAGAAATTAGATAGATATAAATAGATGGAAATAAGTACATCGTAACAGTTTTTTTGGATTTAAAAAGGGTCTTTGAGACTGTAGATAGAAAACATTTATTAAGAAAATTGCAGTATTTTGGTATGACTGGTACCGTTTTAAAATGGTTTGATGATTATTTAAGTAGAAGAAAACAAGTAACTAGAATTGGTTCATCCATTTCAAATGCGATAACTAACGAATTTGGGGTGCCTCAAGGCAGTGTTTTGGGACCACTTCCTTATATGCTTTATTTTAATGATATTAATTATGTGTTAACAGTAGCACAACGATTGTACTATTTAAGCATGGTTTTTATATATAAAATAGTTAATGGTCTTCAATCTTTATATTTAAACAAATTTTTGGTAAAAAATGAAAAAATTCAACAAGATCGAGAAATCAATTTCATATAAATAAAACTAGTTAAAAAAAAATGTTGGAATTCCTTATTTTTTAAAGGATTCGATAGCTTTAACAAGCTGTAAAATGATATAAAAAAACTTAAACAATGTAGCTATCTTTAAGAGATCTATAATAGACTATATTAGAACGGTTTCTAATTAAATTTAATGATACTGTTATTTGTAGTGACTAGTTAGATAATTATTATATTAGTTGTTATAGAAGTAAGAAATATATGTCGCCTAACAGACTTGACAGACTGTTTTCTTTTGTGATGTATTCTGAATTTCATTGTTGTGTATATTAGGCACAGCCTATTTTGAAATGGAGACAACGTACTTAGAAATTTAAATCATCGAGGTCTGGATAATCAGTTTATAATGCTGTATATAAAATTTAATAAAAGTTTTCTTTATATTTTGTCAGTCACTATATTATAATCAAGATACAGGTACATAGACATATAGACCTTATGCACAAAGATATTTTGATAGTGTTTACAGAATTTAGGACAGAGGAGCTAATCACCATTTGAATGGTAGTAAAAAGATTGGTTAGTTTCATTCTGTTTTGTTTACCGTGCCATGCAGACAGACTCTCAGATGGAAATAAATGTGTGGCGAAAAAGTGGGAAGAGGCTGTAAATTTAAAATGGCTGGAAACACATCTTTTTTTTTAACATGACCAAAAAAATTTCCAGAAAATCTCTATTTCACCATGGCGTTCTATGATTTGAGAAACAGAAAAGTTGCTAAGGTTAGAGAAACAGTTCCCGCCGAGAATTCGTCTGTGCCTGTAGTAAATCAAATAAGTACACAAAATTTTATAATGACGGATGAAAGAGAACAAAGTAGAAGCTCTCTGGCTTCTGTAGCTTCTTATGCTTTAACTGACAAGCAATTAAGTATGTTAATGAGCATTATGTAATAAAGCCAGTTAGTTATTCGACCAGTATTTTCAAAATTCTTTGCCTACGCGTAGTAGTGGTAATTTTGTTGGTTGTACTGCCCGCTTTAATGGAGAGAATGGCTCTGATGTGGAAGCATTTATCGATGCCGTTTGCATTTACAAAGACTTACTACAGTCTTTGCATTTACAAAGACTGTAGTAATGTGTCAGATGAAATTGCTTTAAAAGGACTACCAATGTTATTGTTTGGTGCCGCCACGACATATTGGCAAGGGATAAAACCTTCCGTAACTTGTTGTATTGATGCTCTGAAGTCACTTCATTCGGCATATAGTGTTAAATTACTGCCGTATCGAGTATATTGCGAGTTATTTAAACAGGAACAGTCTAATAGTGAACTCGCTGAACCTTTCGTAGCAAAATCTCGTACGTTGCTTGCTCAACTCCCAGAAATTGATATACTGAGTGAAAAAATAAAACTGAATCTGATATATAGGCTTCTCAATAAGCGAATTCGGGAAAGGCTGACAGGCGATAGTGTAAAGACATTTGATGAACTTTTAACTTGTGCGTGTAGCATTGAACAGTCTCTCACTGAGTCACAAAGTGCATATATTGTATAGTTTTGGATCACGAAGTTTCCGACTGCACCATATTGAAATGGAAAAATTAAAAATCGTCCACGCAAGTCAAAAATGGTAATGATAATTTGTGGAAATTAGTGAATTTTATACTGCTGTCATTAATAACCGCAATAATCGTCCTGTAGTAACAGTCGCTATTTGTGGATTGCATGGTAGGGCTTTCAGCGATACTGGAGCCACAAAATCTATTACGAGTTGTAATCTATATCACAAAATAAAAGATAGTTGCCAATTTACTACAGAAAATGGTACATTTACCTTGGCTGATGGTACTCAAACATCAAAAGTATTTTTTACCACTGTTGATGCCACTATCTTACAACGTAGTCTGTACAAAGTTCGTAGTATTGTACACAGAGGCTGATAATAGGACTTTATTGGGTACAGATTTTATAAAGGCCACTGATATAGTCGTTGATGTGCCATCAGGTGTATGGTATTTTAAAAATGAACCACAACGAACTTATGAGTTTCTTGATATTTCAAAATCTATGAATAGTTGTAGCATAGAATTATGGTCTGACGAGGTATTGGTTTGACTGATGATCAACATAGATCCCTCGAAACACTACTTTCTAAATTTCCTGATATGTTTAAGCAAGGGGAAGAACCTACGCCCTATGCTGAACATTGCATAGAGGTCAAAGAAAATCAACAGCCCATTGCAGTTCCTCCGTATAGGTTGCATGAACCAAAAAAAGAAATTTTAAAGAAAGAATTAGACAAATTACTTGAGGATAACATTATTGAAGAATGCGAAATGGTGCCAAAGAAAACCGGTGAAGTAAGAGTTTGTGGAGATTATCGTCGATTGAACAGTCACAATAAGTGATAAATACCCGATGCCGGTTATAGAGGACCTCCTTCATGCAGCGAAGAAGACTACTGCATGTCTACGATTGACCTAAAGGCCGGATATCATCAAGTAAGTGTGCGTGCATGTGATCGCAATAAAACTGCTTTTGTCACTCCTTTTGGAATGTTCCGATATAAACAAATGTCGTATGGACTTAAAAAGCCTCCTGCCACGTTTTCTCGTTTAATGGACAGATTTAAAAATGGACTTCCCAAGTGTTACACTATCTGGACGACATAATTATTTTATCGAAGGACATCTAAAAGATTTACGTCTCGTGTTAGAAAAGTATGTTTGTACGTACGTCTATAAAGTATTTAGGACATTTGATTATGCAAAATGGTATCGCTCCAAATTCTGAAAAGGTTGCCACTATTGCAGAAATGCCCGTGTCGCGCAACTTGAAACAGTTGAAGTCATTTATCCAAACATGTTCGTGGTTTCAACGTTTCATCCCTGGATTTTCTGAAATAGACTTCTTACCAATTTATTGAGAAAGGATGTAAAATGATCATGAGGTGTGCCACAACAAGAATCTTTTAAAAGGTTGAAAGAGGTGCTAACCATTGCTCCTGTTTTGCGACAAGTTAATGTAAATCAATCTTTCATTCTGAATACGGATGCCAGTGATTTCGCTATTGGTGCTGTTCTGCTTCAAGAAGGTGATGATGAAAGACCTGTGGAGTATAGAAGTCGACTGTTAACATCCGCTGAATGCAATTATTCTACTTTAAAGTGTGAAGCTTTAGCGATAGTACATTTTGTGATAAGTTTAGAGGATATCTGGAATATTCTGAAGTACACATTAGGACGGATCACCAGCCGTCGCTTAGTAAAATGGGCTTTGCAATTACAGGCTTATAACATTAAAATAAGTTATACTGCTGGAAAGACCAATAAGATTGCTGATGTTATGTCCATTTATTCCGCTCGATCAAGAAGTGGATTACCATGGTAGAGTTAACTGGAAAAACTGCTGCTGAACTAAGGCGAGAACAAATGTTCGATCCTGAGGTTATGAAAATAATTATTTCTTTCGGAACTGTCCCATATAAAGATGAACTGTCATTTTGAACTGGTTACCATACAAGAAATAAAATATATAGTCTGTAATGTTTAAACTCTCATAGTTATATTGGCATTTTTTTAAATCAAATTCAAAGGCAAAAAGCAGTTTTAAATTAATAACTATCACGGCAATCGCCAATATAAAGCTATACTTTTCAGTTTCATTAAACTTAAGCTAATTTAATATCTTTATTGAGTATTAATAAACTTAACGTTTCACCACTATAACCTCTTGTCGATTAAAATCCTTCCAAAATAATAGCGTCGAGGCAAAACACAAAACTTTTTTTTATCAAACCTACACCCTTTGTTTAAAAAAGGTAAATAAAATTTATAGATCTAGACATCAATTCTAATTTAACAATGTTTTGAGTCTAATTTTAAAATACTTCAAAAGCATACTTACATTTATGTCTGTGTGATGAATAAGAGCATTCAAGGCTGGTAATAATTCTTCTATTGTTTGTATTGGGGGAGGTGGATCTTTGTTTCTACAGAGATTCACAATAACCCATGTGACATTTCTTAAAAATGATATAGGTATTTCTGGTTTGATAAAAGATAGTAACGGATCTACTACACCCAATTCTATAACATAGTCTCTAAGCACAGGTCCATCACCAATAATATTTCCAAGAGCCCATACAGCTTGTTCACAAACATTTTGATGTGGAGAATGCAGTAACATTAAAAACAGTGGTACTGCACCAGCTGATACAACTTTATTTGTTTGTGCAGATGTTCCTGAAGCAATATTCGTTAATGCCCAAGCTGCCTCAAATTGTAAGGATGGATTATCTTGCCGTTCTAAACACTTCACAAGAATAGGTAAAATTCCACTAGATATAAGCACATCTATTGGAGGATTTCTCTCTGAAGATAACAATTTTCTAGCAGTTTGAACTGCCATTAACTGCATAGGAGGGTTATCATCAGCTGCTGCTTGGAGAACAAGCTGTTCCAAGTTGGTGTTTGATAAAGATTTTTCAACATCATCCTCGTCTGTCAAATCTACAATTGGTACATTCCGCCTTTTTTGTAGAGTTTCTTCTCGTTTATTTTTTCTAAGTTCTACAGTGACTTCATTCCGTCTCCTTCGCATTTCCTAGAATACATTATTTATTTATTAACTCGCTATATTATACAATGAAATTTGACATGTGCATCATGACCTTTATTCATCACCTGTGCTATCTATATTTTAATCGTGATATATTATTAGAGCAGCACTCAAATTTATTGAAACCAATTATTCATGATGTAAAAATAATGAATCCCTAACTTACATCTTGATCCTTTCCTTTATTCTTGAAATTTTGGATACGACTCTTATAACCAGGCTCCGCCATTTTTTTTTTTATTAAATTTGACAATGAAACACGAGGGAAAAGCCGGGTTGAGTTGATAACTTCAGTGAAGTAGATATATTTAAAAATAATAAATAATTATCTCCATTAATTAAAATTTGTAAAATATTGCACGTGATTTTAAACTGCAAAACAACTTGCCCAGCTTTTATCAATTTGTCTATATTCCTAGATCAAGGGCTATTCAGTATTCACTCTCCCAATTTTGACAGGTTTGCAGGTTTGTGTTTTAATATAGGAACGCGTCGTAAGGTGCGCTGATGCCCTGATGATTTAGAATTTCATGGATTTTTAATAAATAAAATAAAAAATTGTGCCATTCGGTACAGTTTACTCAATTCACTGATGTTTTGTAGTTCAGGCTGAACGATAATCTATATATAACATATGATTTGTGGGCTGAACTGTTCAACTAGTGTGAACACAAAATACCACAAAACAGAGAAAAGAAGAAGGTTCATTTATATAAGGATAAATGATAGGCAACACGCAATTTCAAAACGACTGGTACGACACCATACAGGCGGGTGGCAAAGTTCATGCGATGAATGGGTTGCATACTTCCACAATATAATTTAAAGTTTCATTTATTTCATGAACATAAAAAATACATTTATTATATATTACTTATTGCTGAAGCAAACGTATTTTCTATACTTCTTATGACAGGGATGACATGTACACGTGTATGAAAAAGAAATACATGGTATTACAAAATTTTTATTCAAAATTTAAAAATTAAACAAATATGTAAATTGTTCACAAATTATGCACAACAACAATTACATTTATTCATGGCTGACAGTCCTGGAGAGTATATTATACATATAGACATAACAGACGGTATAACCTACGAATTATAAATACAGTTTTCAGTAAATAAAATATTTTTAACATTGTTCAATATTATTTTATTACTCAGTATTTACTAGACTTACCTAGTATAGTCCATCAAATAGTTACATCTCCATCTTAACCCACTGTATTTAGATCATCGATTTTCTTTAAGCTGCCGAAAGCACAAACTAATTACCTCCTTTATAAAAGCAGTTTAGGGCCGAAAGTCCTGGAGAGTATACTAACAGAAGGTATAACCTACAAATTACAAATACAATTATCAATAAATAAAATATTTCTAATATCATTCAATATTATTTTACTACCAGTCACACACTTCACAGCTTCTGTTCTTACTTACCTGGAGGAAAAACATATTCATAATTTAATTAAAATTGTTTCATCTTATGTGTCTTCACATAACAGAGGCCGGATTCGTGACGTCACATTGGCGAGTGACGCTGTGGGATGCTCATATCAAAGAATATTAACGTATATTACGTTCGTAATATACGTTAATATTCTTTGCTCATATGGGATGCCCTGTACTGCAGATAAAATGCGGTTTTACGGTTCATTTTACTCTGGTGGTGTCATCACGTATGAAGGTGGCAAACTACTCTTCGTTTTTCAATTTTGCCTATAAGTTTCCCCGGGCTGCAAAAGACCTAGACACCAACTTTTTGACCCTGGGTGACCACCCCAACGACATCCCCCACCTACCAACAAACCTTTTCTGTTTCAGAGACTGCCAGGATCAAGAAACGAAGACAACGCACACACATACACACACCCCCGTATCCTCCTTTCCACTCCACAACCGCGAGCCCGCCATTATTCCATAGCTAGAAATTGGCCTCAATGATTTGAAATCGAGAGGGATTATCCCTCTTTATCCTGCCTCATCTCGTGTAGGCCTGGACAGCCTTCGTAGGTGTGCTCCATCCGTCGCGCCATTATTCCATGGCTAGAAATTGGCCTCAATGATTTGGGATCGAGGGGGATTATCCCTCTTTATCCTGCCTCATCTCGTGTAGGCCTGGACAGCCTTCGTAGGTGGGCCCCATCCGTCGTCTACCCCGACCGCAAATGCGGCCGGTGTAGGCGCTTTGTGGGACCTCCTTTTGTCCTGGCTGGGCCCCGCCGGCTAGGGCCCTTTCTTCTGGCGCTCTTCTTGCTTCGCCGGCTCGTCTGTGTAAACCCCGGGGGTAGTGTCATGTTTATGTGTGGTATGGTTGGGTAGGGTAGTGCGGCTATGCAGCCTGGGATGCGCTTTGCTAAGGTGGCCCTTAGGCTAGCGCGGGAGGGGAGGGTTAAGGAGGGTATGGGGGGTGTGTGTGTGTGTGTGTGTGTGTGTCGTTGTCTTCGTTTCTTGATCCTGGCTGTCTCTGAAACAGAAAAGGTTAGCGGGCAGGGGGGGGGTCATTGGGGTGGTCACCCAGGGTCAAAAAGTTGGTGTCTAGGTCTTTTGTGTTTGTCGGTCACGTCGGGTACGTAGTCAACGGCTTGCCTGAGGAGGGGATTGTCATGTCTAGCGGCTACGTCAAATCGTTTCTCCGCGTTTTGTCTTATTGTCTGTGTAGCGTTTGTGTATTGTAAGTCTCGTAATATGTCAGTGTTTCTTACGTACCAGGGCGCGTCGGTGGCCGTGCGGAGGGCTATGTTTTCCACAGCCTGTAATGACTTTAAGTGGCTTTTTGCCGCGTGACCCCACGCCGTGGAGGCGTAGGTTAGCTGCGGTTGAAGTACCACCTTGATAAGCGTTCGCTTATTCCTTAAACTGAGGGTGTTTCCACCTTTGAGTAAGGGATAGAGCCTAGCCCTGGTGGTCTTCGCTCGCGCCACCGTCTCCACGATGTGCGGTTTCCACGTGAGACGCTGGTCCATCGTCACGCCCAGGTATCGTGTTTGTCGATTCCAGGAGATGGGTTCCTGGGATAGTGTCAGTCTGTCAAGGTTTTGTGGGATTTTTCGTTTGGTAAAAAGGATAGCCGAACTTTTGTTGGGATTAATTTTGACTTTCCACCTGTTGCACCAGGTTTCAAGTTGGTCTAAGGAGCTTTGGAGGAGGTAGACGGAATATCTAGGATCTACGGATTGGGATGTGATTGTCAGGTCGTCGGCGTATAAGTATATGTTGGTGTTGGGGGGATGTGGGATGTCGGAGTTGTAAATGGTGTATAGGTGTGGGGACAGGACGGTGCCCTGGGGGACACCGGCCTCCATGGGACGGGTGGTGGAAAGGGAATCTTGGATTTGGATGCGGAATTTTCGGTGGTGTAGGTAGGATTTTATGAGTTTGGTAAAGGATATGGGATATTGGTTGGTGAGCATTTTCATCAGTAGGCCTTCATGCCAAACCGTATCGAAGGCCTTTGCGACGTCCAGGAAGACAGCACCAGTGTACTGTCCCCTGTTGAAGGCCGCCGTGATGTGCTCGGTAAGGCGAAGGATTTGGAGTTCAGTGGAGTGATTGGGTCGGAAGGCGAACTGCTCGTCTGGAATGACTTGCAGTTCTTGGGAGTGGGTTCTTAGACGGGTTAGGATAATTTTTTCTACCACTTTGCTCATAGCCGGGAGCAGGCTAATGGGCCGGTAGTTGGATGGGATGGTGTGATCTTTGTTGGGTTTTGGGATAAGGATTATGTTTGCTGTTTTCCAGCGGGTAGGGAAGTGTCTTAGTCTGAGTGTCGCGTTTGTTATGTTTAGTAGGGCCATGAGGCCCTTGTGTGGTAGTCGTTTAAGTGTCGTGTTATGTATATTGTCGGGTCCGGGGGCTTTTCTGTTTTTAAGTCTGCGTATTGTCAGTCTTAGTTCGTCAGGTGTTGCGGGGGGGATTATGTCATTGTCTGGCTCTCTGTCGACGCGTCGGGCCGCGCGCTCAGCCACTATCTCGAATTCCTCGTCTTCGTCGGGCAGCTGAGGCAGTCTACACTGCAGTTCCAGGCTATCGGCGAAAGCCTCGGCCTTTTCCTGGTTCGTGTAAACCACCCCCACACTACCGTGGATTGGAGGAATTTTACGGCGAGCGGTCTGTCGCAGGGCCCTCTGCGTTTTCCAGAGGCTGTTGTCTTGTGGATCCAGCGACTCCAGGTGCCTAGCCCAGTTATCCTGGGCCAGTTCATCCAGAGCCGCCTTCACCCGTCTGTTAAGTACGTTTAAGTCATGTCTGTGTCGGGGGAGGCGGGTGCGGGTGGCAAGCCGTTTCGCACGTCGTCTGTCACGTATTAAGTTTTTTATGTCATCGGGGAGGGTGCCCCGGGGGTTTGTCAGTCGGGGGACAATAGTCTCCGTCGTAGTCTGAGTCAGGGCGTTTTTAATGTCAGTCTCAAGGGAGAGGATTGCCGCCTCCAGATCATGGGTGGTTTCGATGACTGGGAGCGCCATGTTTCCTTGCATTACTGTTCGGAAACGCTCCCAGTCAGTGAACCTCCTCGTGAAGGTGCCTTCATATCTCTGTCTTCGCCCCAGATCCAGAAATATTGGATTGTGGGCGGAAGACCCTTCGTATTGGGTGGATATTTGGGCATTTAACGGTATAGATTTTAAGAGGGCAATGTCGATAACGTCGGGGCGTCCTACGGGTCCGTAATGTGTCGGTTCTGTCGGTCCGAGTATAGTCAAGTCGTCGTGTCTGTCTTGGTAATTCAGCAGGACGCGACCTCTTGTGGTCGTCGTCCCGCTGTGCCATATGGGGGACTTCGCGTTGAAGTCCCCGATGGCAATTGTCTGGGGCCAGGAAAGGATTTTGTCTAAGTCATTGTCAAGTAGTGGTAGTCTGGGTGGGTGGTAACAGGACACCACCGCAACGTCTCCATGCCGTAGCGATCTCACCGCTATCGCCACGGCCTCTGTGTTTTGAGTTTGGAGCCGCTGCAGCGGATAGTGGTCGATGCACTTCTTTACTATGAGTGCAACACCACCCCCGTTACGGTTTCTGTCATGTCTGTATATGTCATAGTCAGGGATGGAGGTACGGGATGCCTCGCTGAGGTAGGTCTCCTGGACAGCCATAACGTCTATGTTTAGACGGTTCAAGATGTCCACGAGTTCCGTTTTTTTGGCCCGGAACCCGTCAAGGTTCCAGGACGAAATTCTCAGCGAGGAGGGTTGGGAGGGCCGACGAGCCATTAGAAGTCGAATAATTTTTGCATATTCGACACCATGGTCGTCAGCTGGACGCAGAAGTCCTGAAGACGCTTTGTTGCGTCAATCAGGGCCGCCGCGCCCGGTTGGGAGGGTGTCGTGTCTGTGTGTGCGTGTGGTGAGGTGTTGTGTTTTTGTTTTTGTGTGTTTTGTGTTTTTCTGGTCATGTCAGCGTATGTGCGTCCTGGGGTTGTGTTTGGGGTGGGTAGGAGGGGCTGTCTGTGTGTTTGTGTAGTGTTTTGTGTCGTGTGTGTGTCTGTGTTTTGTGTTTTTGTGTTTTTAGCTTTGGGGTACTGAGGGCACCCCATATAGCTGGCGGGGTGTGGCCCGGCGCAATTTGCACACCTGGCGGGCGTGTCTTTGGCCTTTTTGCATACGTGCGTGCTGTGGTTTTCGCCACATTTTACGCACTTTGGCTCAGCTGTGCACCGGGTCTGGCCGTGGCCGAACCGCTGGCACCGGTGGCACTGTGTGGCAACCCGCTGCTTTCGCTGCAGCTCTACTCGAACCACGAGCGAGCAGCAGCGGGTTACCTTCAGGATGTCCTCCTGGTCCTGTGGGGCCTGAACTAGGACCAGGGGCATTTCCTGTTTATTTTGACGGCTCGCCATGCGGTGCACTATTGCGCCGGGGAACCCTTGTCTTGCGAGGTCGAGTTGGACCTCACTTGGCGAAACACCCGCAGGTATTCCGCGTATCACCACCCTCAGCGTTTTTTCTTCGCTGAGGGTGAAGGTGTGGTACTCCTCGCCTTTGTCTGTCAGTGTCTTTGTCAATAGTCTGTGGTCATTAGGTGTGTTTGGGTATATGGCTATACCGTCTTTAGTGAGTTTTATGTAGTTAATGTTAAGTGTTGTGAGTATTTTTTGTACTTGCGTCCACCGTTCTTGCTTTCGCAAGATTACCGGGGGGACTTGTTTGGTTTTGTTTTTGTGTGTTTTGTAGGGCGCTTGTGGAGGGTTTAGGTGTCGGGGTGCGCGTGTTTGGTGTTTGTGGTCGTGTTTTGTTTGTTTTGTCTGATTTTTTATGTCTGGGGGCTTCGTCCTTGCTAGAGGATTCCGCCGCGTGTTTTTTTGCGTTTCTCTGTGCGTGTGTATGTGTGGGGTGTGTGTGTGCCTGTCTGGAGTGTATTGCCTGTCATTTGTTTGTTTATGAGTTTGTCGAGTTTTTGATGTAATTTAGTGGTGTTTTCGTCAGATAGTTTAATTGTTTTTTAGAAATCGACGATTTGCTGTAAGGAAAAGTGGGACTTACCTGGGCATAACCCCGGCACAGGTACCTGTAACAAAGATGCCGACTTCCTCTATGCGTAAGCCGGGGATTAGGTCGGTGATTAAGAGGAAAGAAAGGGATTCTTTCCAGGTAGCCTTAATAAAGGCAGGTAGATCTTGCTCCTTGCACTGCACTTCACTTCACGGACAAGTCTGCTCAGCTCGGCTACTCGCTCGGAACTGAAGGATCGACCAGCAGCAATAGGAATAAAGAGCAGAGCGTTCTCTAGTACTTTTAAATTTCTATGAGGCCTAGTCTCCAGAATGGTCTTACTCATCGCGAAGTAGTGGTCAGTACACGTTCTAGTTTGTTTAAGGTTTCTATGATATTCCACAATCGATTTTTATCAATTTTCGATTGTTTGTCGTAAACGCCTATTACTAAATGACCTTGAACATATGGCGACATCTATTCATGTAAAAAGTAATAATTAATTTCTTATATGCATTGTCGTTTTCATCGAATGTTATGTCTGAGAATAATAGTATTGACGAAGGATTAATTTATTTTTATATAAATGGTGCTTCTAATAAAATACATATGAGTTATAAGGGAATATGTCCAGTCTGAAAATTGGTAAGACATTTTTATAAAGCTGTACTTACTCGTAGATATATTGTGTTTTGGTCCCACCCCCCCAGTGATAAATTAATAATATCAAAGTTTGCTTTCCCTGGCTTATGTTGATTTGATATTTTTAGGATAAGTATATTGTTAAAGGATTGTGTTAATTATTTACTGCTTTGCTGCTACATTTTATTTAGTACTGATTTCTTCATTTGCTCTCGTCGTTGCTCTGATAATAAACTTCAGTATATCTACGGTAGGTTTATTCTTTTATATTAGCATGTTTATTTAAGTATAGAGCCATCACGCAGTTTATTGTTATAGTGTAGGAGCATGTATGTCGGCTAGCACTAGATAGTTGTGCTTGCGGTCATGTTGGAAACCAGATCTATTCGTGGAATGCCGGATCCTTCTTGGAGCAACTACGGAGTCAAAGTATCTCCACATCAAATGGCTATTCCGATTAGACAAGGTAGGTAGTTAAAATGTATAACAAATGACAAACTTTAATACTTACAAAAGTAGAATTTTTCTAAATTGAACAGTTAAAATGTATATCTGTAGGTATACAGTGGTCTCCTTTACTAAATATTTTGTATGGAAAAAGAAAAGCAGTCGCTTTGATTTTGTTTTATTTTTTTGTACCAAGGCCAGTTGGACATAAAATATTGTGGCTTAATACTACTATTAGTCCACGGGCCCAGGCCCTTTTTTTTCTTTGATTAGTAACAAGCTGAATTTTGGGGAACAGCTTCGTTTTGACGAGGGGGTGTCAAACATGTCGATTTGGTGAATGATCAATATTTATTACTAACAAGCAGTTTTTTACTTAAATCGCATGATAATTGTATGAAAAACTCGAATAAACTTGTCCTACACGTTTGATGTTTTTTCCGAAGCGTCTCCCACATGTCAAAATAATATGATCTTAGAAGTTATTAATAACCACCTAATTTTTTCACAGATGCTTGGTAATAATTATTACAATTCATTGACATTTTTGTCCTACACGTAAAATGGAAGGTTTTCCTAGTCCTACACTGGGAAAGTGTCATTCCCACGGGTACAATTTTCTCATTAATAACAACCTAATTTTCGATTTTTTATTTTGAGAACAATGTTTGAATCAAGATTTTACCAATGTCCTACAAAAAAAATGGAAGCTAGTAATGAAAACAAATAAAATTATACTGGAAATTGTAACTCTACATTGATGTTGAGAATTGTATTATAAATAAATATATATAAGGATATATACCTGTAACACATACTTACATAAGCTTACACACACCAACCTTCCCTAGCTAACTTATGTAGTTTTACAATTTAATTTTCAATAATCTATATAATAATGAATTTTTCAATAATCTTTATAATAATAAGTTTTCTTAAAATTTATGAATTATCGAATGTTTTCACCATTGGTGAAAATAAAAAATTTCAAAATTCCCGCACCTATCAGGATTATTTTGGCGGTTTGCCCACGTTTTTTTTTTCGAGAGAATCAAGTGTGTTTCAGTCGTCCACGTTTTTGTGCTTTTTTTAGTGACTATGGGGTTCTTATGCAAATTATTGTGTGATAATCCGAATTTCAGAGAAAAAAGAGAGGAAATAAAAAAATTCTCTAAAGTAATTCTGATTGCTTGCAAACAATATAATATAATATTTTATAGTAATAAATTAAAATTTTTTTATTTTCATACAAAAACTTATTATTTTATCAATAGATAAAGGAGCTGTTTACTGAACAATCACACATGAGCGTGGTTATTGAGTAATTTTAATAGTAAAAATTAATGTAGAATAACAAAATTAATTATTTTAAAAATTAGAAACTACATATTAACTATTTTTGTGTATTAATTTTTTTTTGAAGTATATAAATTTAATTAATATACTTAATTTAAAGTTAATTAACATATACTAAAAGGTATTCAGTTACTGAAACGGGTTCAGTAAGTAACTCCTTTAAACTTGATATAAAAATGTATATTTCTTTGTTTAATTACATGTGTTTAATATACTCAAAAATACCTTTTATTTAAAATTTTTTTCTATAATTTCTAGAATAAAAATTAAAAATAATACAACATAGTATAAAAACATTTACATATTATTTTAAAATATAATAAAAAAATTCATCGGTTTGGCTCGACCTGGCTCTATAAGGGTACTTCGCTTAATATATCTACCCCCCCCCCAAACTCCCTGGGGGGTTACTAAACTATTTTTCTACTTTGTGGCATCATATACTGATCACATGTACATAGAAAGTTAAATATACACTTTTTTCATTGACATAGAGAAAAAACGCTTTGGTTTAGTTAGATAAGGATAAAGTTTGTTTATCACTCGCCCCCCCCTCAAACTCCCTGGGGGATTAGTAAACTATTTTTCTACTTTAGGATGCAAAAATTGCATTATTTTGGCGAAGTTTGGACATGTATAATCACAAGAAGATATAATGCTGATTTCAAAATTCGCAATTTTAAATAATTTTATATAATTTTTGTAGGACTAGAAATAGTAATTTTTTTATAGGACATAGTTTTTTTTTTATTAAAAATTCCCTAAAATATCGTTTGATTTCTTTGTCCTACAGTTATTAATGAGAAAAATGTACCCGTGAAAATGACATTTTTCCAGTGTAGGACTAGGAAAACCTTGTATTTTACGTGTAGGATAAAAATGTCACTGAATTATAATAATAATTACCAAGCATCTGTGAAAAAATTAGGTGGTTATTAATAACTTCTAAGATCATATTATTTTGACATGTTAAGAGTGGGAGACGCTTTGGAAAAACCATTGAACGTGTAGGACAAAAGTTTTTTCGAGTTTTTCATACAATTATCATGCAATTTAAGTAAAAAACTACTTATTAGTAATAAATATTTATCATTCACCAAATAGACATGTTTGACACCCCCGCGCTTTATTAGCTACCGTTTTCGAGAATTTTCGTAAAGGGAAAAGTTGGGCGTCTCGTCAAAACAAAGCTGTTCCTCAAAATTCAGCTTGTTATTAATCAAAGAAAAAAAAGGGTCTGGGCCCGTGGACTATATGTCATAGCTACAATTTAAATATTTTTAATTTGCAATGTGCAATGACATTTTTTATTTAATGGGCTATATAAAAAAAATTACAATTTAGGCCAAATTCTCTTTACCTAATTAAAGAAAAGAATGACTGTTAGGATTACCAAGTTTTAATCTCGGTGATATTTATGAGATTAACTCGAATTTGATGGTAACTGGAGTATTCATTTGTGGAGAAATGTGGAAAACATGAAATTTAGAGAAAGAAAATGTAGTAGACTTTTGCCAATAAGTGAAAAGAAAATATTTGGAGCATCGTTAGGTGGGTCGGTTAGAATTATTGTGTATAATATTTTTTTTATTGTAAATGATGTCATTTGTAAACGAAAACATAATTAATTTGCAATTTAGGAAGAGAAAGCAAAGAGAATAGTAAATTCAATAATTTCGGTGTGGAAAGTATTATCATTATATATACAGGACAAGAGGGTCCGTCTAATTTTTGGTAGCCTATAATTTTAAGGCATGCAAGGCCAGTAGGCAGTGCAGTTGATGATGTCGGATCTAAAAACACGTGCTGTAAATAGAGGCAATTTGTTATTTAAACTGTTGTAATAGATAATAATATAAATACATGTAAAGAATGTGTAATTTATCAGATCTGAAGGTGTCGATCGCAATTTTCTTTGGTTCCTAGTTTCCTACAAAAATCAAAACTTGTGGACAAGTGTCAACTTCACTTTAACGTATTTGGTTCCATTTAAAAAATACAATGAGTATTTCAGAAATTTTGTCAACCATAGAATTAGCAATTGAATTCTATGAAAATTATTAATTTTATTAATCTGTGTTAAATACTATTTCCATGAAAATATAAATATACAATTTTACCATTTATTGAACCCAATTTTTGGAATACCAGATCTATTCGTTGTATACAGATATAGGATTGTTTTGATATTCTGTTAAGCACTTGATTTTAAATGAAATCCTATAGTGCCAAAATTGTATTAGAAACTTACCACTATTTTTACAACGGTACCACTATTTTTAGGAAAACTTCAAATGTATTATTAAATTTACCCTGTTAGAACAGTTATAAAATACAGAAAATCTGAAATTTGATATTTATTTTTTAGTTTTTTTTGTTTCATAAATATTTACCATGGAATTTTATTGTTTACATTATTACTGTTTTTTTATCGGGAATTGATATATGCTATAAATGACACCAGATCGTCGTCTATTTTTCAGTTATACATCAATCATGTGATAGTATTTGAAATATGATTTTTAGACACTGATTTTCCCTAGAAACAATTGAACATCATATTTGAGTCTACTTTTTTTAATGTTGATGAAATCTTTAAATTTTTTTAATACTTATAAAAAAGTAGTTTTTTCTTCAGTTTCTTTATAAAAGACAGTGCGACAATGACATTGCAGCATTTACAAGGAGAAGGTAAGGTAATCGGATTTTTGTAATTTTCGATATTTATTTTCGATTTTAATTTTACGAAGTAGTTCGACACAATGTTCATAAGTTTTACCAGCCAGCTAAATCCACTAAATGCGACACATTTTTCAATTGGGAGCGTGGCCTAGTTGGCAGCGTTCGGGTCTGACAGTCACGAGATCGGTGGTTCGAGTCTCGTCGCGTGACTTTTTTTTTCAAAATGCACCATATGGTTTTTTATTATTTTTCTCATCTCAAAAATTATGAACAAACGAAATATTATAATAACTACTTATGTATATGTACAAATATTCTTCAAATATTTCATTAAAATGCACAATTGGTTGATAAACAATATTTATTATGAATTAACAATAAGGTTTAATTAAAAAAAAAATAAACAAACGAGGTCAGGTACGATGTACTTTTATTTTATATTTATGTTAGTATTTGACATTTTACGCAGTGTGGCACGAGCCAGAATGGTAGTTATCATAGAAACATGGGAAGCAGAACTTTTTTAAGCATCTAGCTTTCTTTTTCTTATCTCGAAAATTATGAACAAATGAAATATTATAAGAATGTAGGAATATTCTTCAAGTGTTTGATTAAAATTTTGAGCTAGGTTGTGTGGGTTTAGAAAAACCGCTTACAGAACACACCTGCTCGGGCATAAAAAGTTTCAGTAAATTTCACAAAGGGTAGAGAAGCATCGAAACTGTGCGATGAAAGAACAATCTTCCAAATGTTAACGAAATTTGCTTTGACGTCGATATTTTGCAAACAAAATGTGTCTGTAAAAACATAAAATTTACACGACGTGCTAGATGCTTAAAAAATTTCTGCTTCCCATGTTTCTATGATAACTATCATTCTGGTTTATGCCAACCACACTGCGTAAAATGTCAAATACTAAAAATAAAATAAAAAAACATCCTACCTGACTTTTAAAGAATCCTTATTGTTAATTCATAATAA